GTGTGTGTGAGTGTGTGTAGTGTGTGTAGTGTGTGAGTGTGTGAGTGAGTGTGTGAGTGTGTGTAGTGTGTGTGAGTGTGTGTGTAGTGTGTGTGAGTGTGTGAGTCTGTGTGAGTGTGTGTGTGAGAGTGTGTGTGATGACACTTCAAGGGTGAAGGTTAGAGGACTGAAGAACTCCTGTCCGTCTACTACACGGATCCTGAGGGTTGTGCCCTGGTCTTCAGGCTTGGCAGCACGGAGTCGCCTGGCCAGCTGTCAGTCATCAGCTCTTTGTTGCTGTTATTACTTAAGCTTTGTGTACGTGTGTGTGTGTGCATGAGTGCGTGGACTTGCGTGCATTGTGAACGGAAGTCTGGTCCCGCCCGACGTGGGTGCTCGGAACCAAACTTGGGTCCTGGGCGAGAACGGCACGGGGTCTGAACTGTGGAACCCTTTCTCCCGGCTTCCGTTGTTTTTTTCCTTCTTGAGATGAGTGTGAGTACAACTGTCTTCCAAGTTTCTGCTGAATTGTTTCCTTGCATGGATCCTGCCATTCACTTGTTTAGGGGTCTCTTATAGGAGTTACCAGAAAAGCTTGGGATGTTCCAGATAGGGTTTTGCCACATCGATTAGCATACGTTTACTGCTCTCTGTGATCTGTGTCCTCTTACGGTGGTCCAGGGCCTGGCAGGGCTCATCGTATGCGACTTTGACTTGGTCTTCCTGTGCTGACACAGTGAATGAGCTGGGTGTGTTCAGTCACTGTAGCGGGCGTGTGCGTGCCCCTGCCACAAACCAGGTGCTATTGGTACAGGCCGCTGTTCCGAGAGGACTGGGCCACAGACCCTCCATTCCCGTGTTTGTCATTAGTGAGCAGCCCTTCCATCCTGCTGCGATGTGAGCATCCTTTGATGTCAGGCATCTCTGTATTGTTTCATTTCCTCCCCAGAGTTGCACACTTGCTTTCCCAGAGCATGTTTGGGGGATGTGTCTACTTGGCCAGAGAACATTTTCAATAACCTCTCCTGCTTTTATTGCGGTTCTATTTAGCCTTTTTTTTTTTTTTTTTTTTTTGTCGCGCTAGTTCACCTGGGCCCCATCAAAGCAGGAAGGGGACTTCTGCTTCCAGAATCCAGGAAGGCAGATGAGATGCAGAGTGGTGGAGATCAGGCTTTGTACTGAAGGTCGGGACAGACTGGAAGGCAAAGAAATCACAGCGATTGGAAGCAAGAGTGGGTGGAGGCCGTGGGGAGGTGTGGGTGCGGATGGGTGCAAGCTCTTAAAAGACACGGAAAGGAGGAGCTGGAGAGACTACTCACAGATACAGCGTTTGCTGTACAGGCATAAGGAGCTGAGTTTGGACACCCCCACTTATGTAATGCCAGCACTTGGAAGTAGAGACAGAACCCCTAAGTTCCTGCATACGGAACTCAGTTCATCTATCTTTCAGGGAGGCGTTTCTGCATTCCTAGAGGTAATAATGGTCTCGTCTCGCTGAAAAGGCATTTTTTTTACACATTGTTGATAATCTGGGTCGTGCATAGCAAGGGTCTACTGTGTATTTTCAAATGTAGGTTAAAGCACATGGGAAATAGTACAGTCCTGAGTCTTTTTGGGCTGACCTAGCAAGCCCCACTCTTGGCTTGTGTCGGTCATGCGCATGTGCACGCTCGCACACACACTTGCACTGATGTTTGCATGCACACACAGGTTTGAAGGAATCGGTGGGGAGAGGTTTGGCATTCAGGTGGCAGAGCAGTCCACCTTGGCTCTGGATGACTGTATGGCCTGTTTGGCGTTGGGCAAGGTCTCTGGGCTGTGGAGATCCTTTCTTGTATAATTGATTGTGATTGCTAGCATGCCGCCTGGTAAGATGGCAGCCAGGGTCAAGTGACAGGGTGTGATGCTGGGAGTGTTCAGAATGTGCACTGCGCTAGTGACCATAAACGCGTCATCCTGGGTGTATCTTACTGGTTACTTTTCTCACGGCTGTCGTAAAACACTGAACAGAAACAACCCAAGGGAGGAAGATTTTATTTTGGCAGGTGGTTTCAAGAGGATTTCTGTCCACCACGGTGGGCAAAGCCAAAGGAGCGGTTTTTTGTTTGTTTGTTTGTTTGGGGGTTTTATTTTGGTCCCTGGTGGGGGGTGATGGATGCTGTCCGTGGTGGGGTTTCGCATGGGGTACACAGGAAGCAGGGAGCTAGACGGGAAGCAGAGGCAAACATAGCCTTTAGGTGCCTGATCCTAGCGGCCTATGCCCACCAACTACACACCATGCTCCCGGAGTGCCACGTCCTTCAAAACCAGCACCGCCAGCTGGGGACCAGGTGTTCAAACACATGCGGCTATGAGAGGCATTTCACATTCAAGTCGTGGCAATGTTCTTGCCCACAAAGTTCTTTGGTCTGTGAAAATCTTGGATCCAGTCATGGATGATTAACCCCGAGTAGACTGTCTTTCCCTCTTCTTGCTCCCCAACTCAAGCATCAAGCGAACCTTTAAGGACTCCATATCCCTTAATTGTCGGACGGCGACACGAGTCAGAGAACTCGCAGTGCCTCTCAGTGCTTCCCTAATGCATTCCAGACAGTAAAAGTGTAAAGGTAAATGATTGTTCTGAGCCCAGAAGAATCCCATATTTGGTGAGAAAGGCCAGTGGCCTCTGGAACCTTCTGAGGTAGTCATAAGAAATATTTATAGCTATAGGCAGCTCTCCTTCAACAAAAAGCACTAAAAGTATATATGTGTATCCCACACTCTAACTAGGTCCATGTTTTAAGGTTGCTAAAATCCAGCATAGGTGACAAATGTGAACATCTTCTCTTGTCCTAGTTACAAGATTTGAATTTAGATTCTGCCTCATGTCTAAGTTGGGCCGTGCTATCATTTCCTAGTCAGTACAAAACTAGCCTGTGACTAATTAATGCGGCTTCTCAGACTTGGTTTGAGGAGGAGGAAGAGGAATAGAGGACCTCGCAAGGTTGTAGTATTGGAAAAATACCTTTATCTCCTTTCAAACATTTGGAATGGAGACCCCATATATGTGTTATTAATAAATACCTCCTTTCCCCAAGAAGAGAAACCAAACCCTGAAGAGCCTGATTCTTTTACACTGCACTCATCAGGATCTCCGTTTGCAAGGGCAACTTGAGAGCTAAGACATCCCCAGAGCCTTTGTTCTTCCACTGAAAGGTCACATTTTTGCCAGCACTCACTGCAACTTGAACCAGGAGAAACTGTAGTTCAAATTTGGAGCCCACAACCTTGAGGTGTTAAAGTGAAACCTATGTTGTACAAAAACTCACCCAGAGGAAATGCCTGAGATAGACAGGATAATGTCTTAGAAAAATACATTTTCTAGGGATGGGGGTTAAAGTGCTTACTTTGTGAGCATTCGGTTCATGTGGGCTCAATCCCTAGAACAATAGAAAAATAAGGTGTGCTGATGCGTGTTTGCAACCTGGCACTGGGCCAGCAGAGACAGGCAGCTCCCTTAGGCTGTCTGGCCAGCCAGCCTGGTCTACTTAGCAAACTCTAGGTCAGTGAGAGAGAGAGACTCTGTCTCAAGAAAACACAGAGGACCGTGACTGAAGAATATTTTCTGAAGTTTTTTTTTTTTTTGGCCTCCACATACACATACACCTACATGCATGCATACCGCCTCTGCCCCGCATGCTGTACACATACAGATATGCACGCATAATACACTTACCACACGCACACTCACACAACTCATACACACACTTACACACTTATATGCACACACAGAGAAGGAGGAGGAGAAGAGAAGGAAGAGGAAGAGAGACAAACAGGTTCGAGGGAACAAAAGATCCATTCAACAAGGCAGGTTGCTGGCAGAGGTGAGCTCCTGTCTTTTATTCTGAGAAAGCGAAGGAGTGAATTACCAGGTACGAGCCCATGAGCCAGCCTGAGGAGGAAGACACCGCGCCTGTATACAGGACAAGCAGGTGCTGTGGTTAGAATGTAAATGCTCCTCAGGCTCCCGTGTTTGACCACTTGGCTCTTGACTGGTGCTTCTGTTTGGGGAGGTTGAGGAGAGAGTAGATCTCTGGGTAGAGGGGTAGGGGTGGGAACCTGAAGTTCATAGCCCAGATGTGAGCAGGCAGCTTCACATTCATCATGATGGCCACGGCCTGGAGCTATTCTCGCCTCTTGCCTTTCCTACCACAATAGACCATGCTCCAGAATAGACACTCCCTCCCTTAAATCGCTTCTTGTTAAATACTTGTTTACAGAACACACACACACACACACACACACACACACCACACCATACTGCACACACACACACACATACGCACACTCATACTCAGCCACATATACAAGCTCTCAGTGAGACTCACACAGTGGAGACACACTGTGACCATCGACTCTTTACACAGATTCCACACTGAGTGGACGCTACGAGCAGATGTCGAGTCTGAGATCTGGTTTCGTCTCCTTCCCGCTTTCTCCGACATAGGACAAGCCAACTCTGGGGACTCTGATTTCCGGATTGGAGCACAGCAGCTGCAGGGAGGTGTCGCTAGCGCTGGGGGGGGGGATCAGAACCTGTTATGCCCTTGACAGTGTTCACTGACTTGGAAAACACGCGTGACCATTAATCTCACTGCCAACTTGATGCTATCTAGAAGCACCTAGGCATGAGGGATCATCTAGATTAAGGTATCCCTGAGAATGTCCATGGGGGGTTATTTCAGTGGGACTATGTGGGACCATTCCCTGGGTGATACAGTGATTATATATAAGATCATATATATGTATATGTATGTATGTGTGTATGTATGTATGTATGTATGTATGTATATCACAGCGCAATCAGCTGTTTTTCTCCCTGAGTACAGACACAATGTGACAAATGTGACCGGTCAGCCTCCTGCTCCTGCCACTGTGCCTCCCCAGCCTGCTGCCTTGTCTATCGTAATGGACTGTGTCCCTCTGAAACTCTAAGGCAGGATAGACCCTTAATTGCCTTTTTCTTTTCTCTTTTGTCACAGCATCGGGAAAGAAACCAAGGTTTTGCATCCTATAGGGCCCCGGGAGACTGGGTTAGACTTCTCTCCTGACTCCTTCGCTTAAGGTAGTCACTGAGAATGAATCCACAGTGCGAGTGAGTTGAAGGCGCCCTCCAGAAATCGTTGTCCTCTGGTCCCTCTCCTCCAGTGAGAAAAGCCATGCTGCAGCCGTCCAGGAGAAGCCTCGGCAGCTTGGGGAGATTGGTGTAACAACTTTTGTTGAAAAAAAACAAAAGCCATGGAATTCCTGGGCCTGGTTTCCCTTTGGATTAAAATAAATTTTAACTGCAAAGCCAAGGACCTGCTACTGACGAAATGCCTTGAATTCCCCTTTCATAGGCAGCCATCAGGGGCGCGACTGAACAAATTCCACTGGCTCCCACTGCTCCCCAGAGGAACACCCAGAACTACACTGGAATAGACAGCTTTGTTCTGACCCGTTCTGTCACCTGTGCTGGAGACACTGTCCTGTCAGTAGAGACTAGTTCCCAGATGCATCAGATCACACAGCACTGACACTATCTTACTCCTTACTCATGAGTTTGGGGGGTGGGGGTCGAGTGTCTGCTGACAAGCAGAGGGTGTCAGATCTCCTGGAGCTGCAGTCACATGCATTTGTGAGCTGCCTGCTGTGGGTGCCAGGAACCAAGCTTGGCCCCCTGGAGGAGCTTCAAGCACTCTCAGCCTCTGCACAGTCTCCCCAAGCCACCTTCTTTTTGACCAGCTAAAGATGTTCCCACAATACCACTGTCTAGTACTGTTCTTTGCAAGGAATAAAATGTCCTCATTCCAATTTGTGGAAGATGGACAGTGGAGGCTGTCGGCAGTGATTAGAGCAACTTCCTCTTTTTATATGTACAGATGACATTGCCATGTAAACTTAATATGTATGAAATTCCCTAAAGGAAGCATCTAAAAGCTCCAAGAGGGAATCCGTGACTCCTGGAGGAAATAAAATCTGCAAATGAAATCAGAGAACAAACACAAAGCACATGTCAACAAGGACGGGCTGCCGGGCAGCTTCTACTTTTATTTGCTGCTTTTGAGATCGTGGAAAGGGTTTAGGAAACAAGCTGGGCATAGCGGTGCACTCCTTAATCCCAGCACTTAGGAAGGCAAAGGAGGGTGGGTCTCTAAGAGTTTGAGGCCAGCTCGGTCTACTATATAGCCAGTTCCTTGTTAGCCAGGGTTACATAGAGAGACCCCGTCTCAAAAAAAGGGGGGGTAATGTTAATCAAATTAAATTATAGTTACATAACGCGATAAAGCTGAAAACGAGTGAGTCTTGGGAGATGGTTTGGTGAGGCGAATGTCTGCTGTGCAAGCTGGAGGACCTGACTTTGGACCCTGAGGACCTACATGGAGAGCCAGCCATGCGGGTGCTGTAACCCCAGGGTAGACAGAGGTGGATCCCCGAGGCTCGTCGGCTGGCCAGCCTAGCTGGATGGATGAACTTCAGGTTAAGTGACGACCCTGTCTCAAAAGGTACGGATAGAGAAAGGTGAAGGAAAGACTCCCAAGATGTCCTCTGACCTCCACATGTGCTCTGTGATAGTCTCTCTGTCTCTGTCTCTCTCTGTCTCTCTCTATGTCTCTGTCTGTCTCTCTGTCTCTGTCTGTCTCTCTGTCTCTGTCTCTCTGTCTCTGTCTCTCTCTCTGTCTGTCTCTCTCTGTCTCTCTCTCACACACACACACACACACACACACTAATATAAATAAATGTAAGAAAAAGTCACTGAAGGGTTGGTAGATAACTCAGCAGGTAAGGTCATACCTTGCTCTTGCAGAGGATTGGAGTTCAGTTCCCAGTACCCACACAGCAACTCACAACTGCCTATAACTCTAGCTCCAGGGGGTCTGATGCCCTCTTCTGACCTCCGAGGGCACACAAACGGAGGTATGCACACATGTAGACACACACACACATAAATAATAAAAGTTAAAAAAATCTTAAATCAATAAGGATGGACAGATGTTGTCTCAGTCAGTGTCCTATTGCTGTGGCAACTCTTATAAAGAAAAAAATTAATTGGGGCTGGCTTACAGTTCGGAGGTTTAGTCAGGCAGCGTGGCTTCATGCAGACATACAAGGTGCAGGAGAAGGAGCTCGACAGCTCTACATCTGGATCCACAGAAAGAAAGAGAGAGAGAGACAGAGAGAGACTGGGACTGGCTTCCCAGTAACACACTTCCCCCATCACGGCCACATGTCCTAATTCTTTCAAATAGCACCACCACTCCTTATGAGCCCATAAGGCCACTTTCATTCAGACCATCACAGCTGCCTGTGCATTTCCGTGCACACGTCTTACGAAAAGAATTGGCCCTATAATGTGAGCACGCTCAACAGCACTGAGTACTTCCTTCTGAGCAGTCAAGACTTTAACTGTCATGTTCTGTTTATTTCATCACAATTGACTTTTAAAAGGAGTGAACAGAGCCTGGGCAATGTTCCATAAAACAAGGTGGGCATCACCTGAGGTTGACCCCTGAGGTTGGCCCCTGATTTCCACACGTGAGTGCGTGCATGCATGGGTGCATGCATGTGTGTGTGAGGGTGGGTGGGTGCATGTGTGTGTGTGTGTGTGTGTGTGTGTTTGTGCGTGTGTGTGTCAGGGGTAGGAGAGCAGGATAGGAAGGGGGTGAAGAAGGGATAGGAGAATGGGGACAGGCCAGCCACCTGAGTCTATAGAGACACACAGCAAATTCAGACACAGAATGACAGACACCCATAGCTTATGTGTCCTGACTCCTAGGTAACTCCCAAGACGAGACCAGATTACCAGTCCATCCTGCCGGAGTGCAGGGCAAAAGTAGAGACCCCAAAGTGGAAGATGAGTGTGATGAGCGTCCATGTGGGTTCCTCCAAATCCCTCAGTGTGGAGCAACAGCCTCTACCGAAGAACCCCGGTCCAGGGAAGGCCAGGCACCACCACCACTGCTTACCCTGGAGAATAAAGACGCTTCCTTCCGGCCAGCTGCTAAAGTCCCTGAGGTGCATCCAAGAGTCAGAACTCCATGCAGGGAGGCTTGAAGCTGGCCTTGAGACTTCCACATGCCTTGGCTTCTCCCTTCCTTCTTTTCCTTCCCTAAGGTGTTGATATTAAGAGCAGTCCCTAATAAACACTGCAAGGGACTCTGTGACCCAGGACACTCTCCAAGGCTGGCCGTCAGCTGGTGGCGGGAGACTCTGGTCACAATAGTTTGATGGTGTGCTACGGAGATAGAGTTAAAATAGGAAAACAAGGTCGGGACCAAGTCCGGCCCTAGCTGGACCGGGATGCATGGTGTTTCTCTACAATACTGTCTTGCTTTAGGGCATTTCTTTGACCAAGTGGGGAAGCCGAGGCTGCCAAGGACGGGTGACCTGGAGAGGAACCGATGCCTGTGGCAGAATGAAGGACCATCGAGAGGACTACTGAACACGGCTTGAAAGCTTATAAAATAAATTACAATGGGGGCTGTTACTAAAGCAGAAGAAGGAAGTCACAGGGAGGCAGGGTGAGAGCCTCCACAAGGATCTATTGGGGTTAACTGACAGGGCAGGAGTATGGGCCACAGCTGGCAGATCCTGGCAGACGGTGGTCACCAGAGATAAGGAGATGTTGACCATGTCTACCCTTTCTGCCAGGATGGTAAAAACTGAGTATCTGGGCAAGTCTTAGTCTGGGGTTGTTCCTCTGGCCTCAAATGAAAAGCAACATTTCAGTTTCTGAGGGTCCCACATAGTCAAAGCATTCACGTAGAGACAGTGTGTCATGTACAGTACAGATTGGTGTACACACCTGTCATGGAAGCCCTTAGTAGGCCGAGGTAGGAGGATCACCAGTTCCCAGGCCAACTTGGGCTACCTACTGAATTCAAGCCTGCCTTGGGCTGCAGGGTGAGACCTTCTCTCAAAAGTAATAAAGTAAAAATAATAAAAATATTAATCCTATTAATATTTGTTTGATGAAGCGTCCTTTATCCCTCTTAATTGCACATGGGGCAACTATGTCTCAGGTGTGGGTGTGTACAGTCCCATATCTCAAGTACACGTAAACTTTCCGGGACTGTTTTCAGGATGTGTGGCCCTTGGATCTGTCCAACGAGTTTCAGCTCCACGGATTTTCAGATCGTCCTCCTGGTGCACAAGGGACCCCGATGCTTTTCTGAACAGGGCCAGTAGCTTAGTTGTGAGCTCAGAGCTCCCAGGCAGCCAGCTCCTCCGGCTCTCCTCATCCGTGCAAGGGAGCGAGGAGAACGAGCCCCAGGGGTGTCTGTGACCCTCCAGGCGACCACAGAGAGCGATCTGGTTGCCCATTCCTGGTAGGCAATTAGCAGATTGCAGCGGGGTGAGCCCTGCGCCTGGAGTCTTCCTTCTGCCCATCTCTGGGCAAACAGACTTTGATAGTTCCCCCGTTACTCTGAAAAACAGCCTCGGCGCTTGCAGAACATGATGCTCAAATACTGGCGTCCAGGGACCGCAGAATCACAGCAACAAATGTTATGAGGCAATATTTCTAAATAGACATGCTGAAAAACCAAACCAAACCAAATAGGACCATTAAATAATAATCCTCATTAAACCCAAACCAACCCAAACCAAACAGAATCGTTCTTAAAAGTGTTTGAAAAGGAGAGGGAAACAGAACTCTGAATGGTTTAGAGAGGATTAATAATTTGCTTATTAATTTGATTGGATAATTGCATGACATTTTTTCTAGAATGGTGCATTTAGATATTATTATTAAAAATCCCATTTAGGTTTCTCCCACACTGTAGCTGTCAGAGTACAGGACACTTTTTAAATATGCAAAAATGAAGCCTAATATTCTACATTGCATTTCTTCCCCCAACCCCCAAGGAGGTAGCCTTCCCTAAAACATTTATCTGTGGTTAAAAAAAAAAAGACACTGCTAATTCACAGGAAATTAGCTGAGGAGTCTACTCGGCAAACACCCCTGCTAAGGCTTCATTAGTGTGTATTTTCACATAATTCAATTAGCCAAAACACAACGAATGCTCTCCGAGCTGCTGGCTGCACTGGGAGTGTAGGGAGGGCTTTAAGCAGATCTGAAACCAAATTGCATAGTCGGCTTGTGCGGCTCTGTGCATACAAAGATACCTTCAGGCTCTAATAAATTCGCGAAACTTTTTAAAGTCTGATTTCCTAGCAGGCAATCACTTTTAATTAACGGGCTCACCTACAGCAACACATGTCCTTCAAAAACTTACATTATTTTTTCTTTTTGAATTTCAAAGTTTCTGTAGTAAAAGTTGAATAGCTGAGTAGCTTAACCTCAAAAGGATTCCAGGCTTTTATGACAGTTATAAATCACTGTGGTGCCTTCTCTATAAAGAAGAAACGGTTCTTAACACAACAGAGAGAGGAGAAGACCTCTTTTTAGTCATAGCTAGAAGCAAGCATTTTCTCCAAAGGTCAAAGGAAAAAAACTTTTCCTCAGTTAAAGAATAATTTTAAGGACATTGCCGTTACTTGCAGAAGTAATCGCTTGTAATTTACTCTATGAATTAAACATTCAATTTCCAGGATTGAGGTTTGACACGAAGTGGACTCCCCGCCTTCTCAGGCTGGCTTTGTAGAGTCCCTCTTGTCATTTTTTTTTAGTAAACAGGGCCATGACTGAACGAGGGGTCTTGGGCTTAATGAGCCCTTCTCCTTGAGGAAAACCAGCATTTAGATGTTCGAGGAGAGACGTCTTGGAGTTCTTCCTGCCATTTCCTTTCCGGGCCTTTGTTTGGAAGCTCCTGGGCTGTCTGAGGCTAACAGTTAGGGTGCAGAAACCTGGGAAAGAGACAGGTCTGCGTGAAATAAGGGAAGAGTTAAGATGGAAAAGAAGTCTGTCTGTCTGTCTGTGTATCCTGCCACTGTCTTGGAGCACCTGGTTCAACCAGCAGTAGCCTCACAGCCTGGTGGAGATGCTTGCCCTTCCCCCACCTACCAGTGCCCCCCTCCCCCCACCCCCCACCTCCCTCACTTCACCAATGTCTTTCTCAACCACAGGAACCCTGATCACTATCCCCTCCCCAGGTACTCATTCTGGCAGACACTTGGGGATGGTTGTTATGACTGAGTAAGAGCAAAGCAAAGGAAGGGACAAAGTGTTGCTCACGGTTCAAGGCTGCTGTCCAGACCATCGAGGTGGAGGCAGCAGCGGGAGCCTGAAGACGGGGTTGGGGGGGTCACTGAGCATCCACAAGCAGGAAACAGAGAGCAAGGATGCCTGCTGTTGATCAGCCCTTCCTCTGTTTCCGCAGCCCAGGATCCTAGCCAGGGCAGGTCTTTCAGTTAAGGCCATGGAGACAGTCCCTCACAGGCATGCCCAGCAGCCCAACCTCCTGCAGTTAACACTGTTATCACAGGGAATGTCATTAGGGAGGTGACTTCTGCCCTTCTAAAAACCTGCACCTACCTGCAGGGCAGAGATGGCAGCTCCAACTGATGGGGTGAGGCATTGGGGACACTCAAGCCCCTCTCTTCACCCAGGTCCCTTGCTGAAGCCACTGGACTCACCCTTAGGTGACAGTCCTAATGTCCTTGCTGGTCTCCCTATCTCAGGATCGAAGTCTGCCTAGGCATCATCCAGTGGTGTTTGGAGAGATTAGCCAGGACATAAACCGGACATTTTTCAAAACACCAACCTGGTTAATTACAAGCTTAATTCTGTCATTAGTTTCCTATTGCCTTGAAAATTGAGACAGTGCTGACAACTCATCCGGTCCACTTGCTTCGAAACTACAAGACTGAGTTAGATTCCCTGCACCCGTGTCATGGAAGGAAAAAAATCATAGCTCCCGAAAGTTGTTCCCTGACCTATGCACACACAGCCTCTCCACCCCCCCTCCCACACACATGTAGACACACAGAGGAATAAATAAAATGTTATTAAAGGTGGAGGTCACCATCTATGCCCCAAGTCAAGTTCAGCCACCTCTCCTCAATAAGTCGATTACAAGAGCCAAATTAAAATGGGAAGTAGAAAAAGGAGAGTTATTTAATGTGGTCACACTAGGGAGAGAGACAAAGGGATCCAGAGAACCCTCAAGTCAGTATTTGGTGTCCTGTAGTGAAACCAGAGTTTAGAGGTCAAGGATATCACAGCTAAGAGGTCCTGGTCAAGCTGTGGCCCCTCCCACCACTGACCCATCCTTGCCCCAACCTCAGTCTCCTCCTGGAAGGTGGACTGACAAGTGAGGGCCGGGTGGGATCTCTTTCAGGAAGACAAGATCTGCCTCTGGCTGCCGCCTTCTCCCAGCACAGATTCCTGGGGAAGGTCCTGTTTAGATGGGGTCCATGTGTCAACAGTTTGATAGATTGGAAGACACAAGTGTCTCTTTAGAATATCTTCATTTCTGCCAGGCTGGTTAAAAATTAATTAATTAATTAGTTAGTTAGTTAATTAATTATTTTGAGATGGGGGTCTTACTATGTAGCTCTGGCTGTCCTGGAACTCACTATATAGACCAGGCTGGCCTCAAGCTCTGCCTGCCGAGTGCTGGGATGAAAGGTGTGTGCGTCACTATTCCTGGAATACAAAGACATTTTTAAAAGGGTGACATGCAAAGGCTTGTCAGCATATAGTTCCTGTATGCCCTCGCCTGCTCATAGTTCTGTCCTGAACTTTCAAAACTCACTTTTATGTCTCAGATTCTGCCCTTGCAATACTGGCTACTGGACCACACCTTCCTATTCAAGGTCACTTTCCTTCTCTATTTTTAATTGTTTGTCTGTGACTTTTTCTTCTACTCCCCGAAAGGTCATTTCCTTCTGTCCTTCCACTGGGTCAAAAGCGACCTTGGTGAGTCCTCACTCGCTGTCCTGTCTTCTCCAACCCCCACCCCTTCTGCGTCCTTTGGGAAGACTGCTCCATGCTCCTCGTCCTCCCTGGGCTCCGGCCTGCATTCTGATGGCTGTCTATAGAACACACGACCAGCGTCTGGTGCCGTTCTTCAGGCAGAATGACGAAGGAAGACCTGTGCTTTATGCATTAGTGGTGAGAAGGAAATAACCGCATGCCCAGGCAAATAAGTAACAACAATATAGGGCTACTGTGGCTGTGACTGCTATGGGAAGGTCTGGCGGCTGTCAGGTAGCCGTGGGGCTCAGTTCTCTGGTGAGCTGATGGATGAATGAACGGTGAGAAGCAGCCAGCTTCTGGGAGCGCTAATGAGGTCCCGTCCCTGTGCAAAGCCACACTGGATGTGCTCAGAATGGAAAACCAGCTACACTGTCATGTGCCTGGCACGTGAGACTTTGCGGCCCTGTCTCAGGCTGGCTGTCTCACCGCACGGTGGACTGTGAGTCTTTGTCAGACATAAGTTATGAACCTTGCATGGTTGAACATCTGGATGTTTTGTGATCCCTCCGTCTGTGAGTTATTGAAGTTTCACTTGGATTCTCTTTTCATTATTTTGAGCCTTAAAGGACAGGCCTGCAGTAAGGTCTGCATCACTTAGATCTATACTAAGCGTCCCTGGTGTCCCTTCCCAGTGAACTGTCTCCATGCGGGTCTGTTTAGAAGTTGAACTTCTAGGAGCTGGGGAGACCCTGGGCCATTGGGAGTGCTAACTGTTCTTCCAGACGACCAGAGTTCTTTCCATTCAGGCACCCACACAGGGCATCTACCAACCCTCCCATGACTCCAGCTTCTGGAGACTGGGTGTCTTCTTTGGACCTTTGTGGGTGCCCTTGCCCATGCGCATTGGAAATGCATCGCAACTGTTTGATAAAGCAAGCCCTTTTCCCCCAGGATGCTTTGGGTCAGTGTTTCTCACAGTAACAGAGAGGCAAGTTAAAGCGGTGTCCTTTAGCTTCCAGATGGCTTTCTCATATGATCTGGGGCCTCTTTACCTCTATCGATAAGCAATGATGGTCTGTCATCAAGTGTCGGGCCCATAAAGATGTCTCCGTTTCATCTTGCCTCAAGGTCAGAGA